AACTGCTGAGGCATCCAACCTCCTGAACTGAGCAGTTACCAGGTTCTCAGCCTCTCCAGTGTGCAGACAGCCACTGTTGGACGTCCTAGTCCTTATCATGCAAGCCAATCTAATATGCCCCCTTTGTGGTGCGTATTTGTTGGCTTTGTTCCTTTAGAGAATCTTGACACACCCTCTTTCCTCCGAAATAGACCCCATTCTGCTCTTGTGTCTCATGCCATTTTCAACTATGCAAATATTTGCACAGCTGTAGTGCCTCCTCTATCTGTTCAACAGCTGGCATTATCCCATTGCACACACTACATCCTCTGCTAGCCTGAGCTTTCCCCAGCTTCTTTGCTCCTGGGTATCCCAGCAGATCTGGTAGACCCAGATATCCATGTGACCAGCTAGACGTTTCCGTTCTGGTAGTGATGGCTAAATGCTCCTCCAAAAATGGTACTATTTTACTCTTTTATCAGCAACACATTAAATCTACCTGTCTACACTTTTATAAATTTTGCCCACATGAAGAGTGAAGTTGTATCTTAAAGTGTTTTTAACATATCAAGCAGCACAGTATGCCAATTCCCTCGTTAGACTCATCCATCCACAGGCTTGGTGCTGTGGAGTCCCAAACCTTCCTCTCCACAATGGTGTAGTTAGTGTTGGCATAGCATATACCCAAAGCCTTCTGAATACCTTACTTAATTTAATTTTAAATTTAAGCTTAATTTTGAAATAAGATTTCATATAGCCCAGGCTGATCTCAAACTTACAATGTAGTGGAGGATAACCTTGAACGCCTGATCCTCCTGCCTCCATATCCCTAATGCTGGAATGACAAATTTGTCCTTGGTTTTCTCCAAGTCATCTCTAGTCTTATAGCTCCTAATATGACACTGCTATGACCGTGTAAAGTCATAATTTATTTTATGTGTATAAGTGTTTTGCCTTCAGGTCAGTGCACCACATGCATGCAGTACCTACAGAGGCCAGAAGAGGGTGTCAGATCTCCTTGGACCTGGAATTACTAATGGCTGTTAGTCACCATATGGGTTCTGGGAACCAAACGCCTGTCCTCTACAAGAGCAGCCAGGGCTCTTAACTGCTGAGTGACCTCTACAGTCCCTATTTTATTGTTTTGAAAAAGTCTTGCTGAGTTGCCCAGGCTATCGGTGAACTCACTCCACATAGCCCAGCCCAGGCACACCTCCTGCCTCAGCCTCCTGTGTAGCTGGAATTACAGGCCTGTGCCACCAGCCCCAGCACCACCATAATTTTGAGAACCAAAAAGAAGCCCTGCGCCTGTTTCCTTGCTCCCTGCCCTTCCTTTTTGCACCTGTGGTGACACCTATCACAGACATTTCTTGTGCAAGTGGTCATGTAACCTGGGTGTCTGGTTCCAAGTTACCAAACATCACGTTTTCAAGGTCTGTCCATACTGTAGTATGCTTCAGCATTTTGCTCCTTTTTGTAGTGAAGAATACGCCAACATATGGCTGGACCACTGCTGTTTACACTCGTCAGTCTGTGGGCATGTGTTGTTTGGGGCTGTTATGGGTGATGCTGCTGTGAACATTCCTGTACAGTTTCCATGTGGACACAGGTTTTCATTTCTCTTGGGTAAAGACATAGGACTCAGTGCTGGTGGGGGGTGGAGGGGTGTTCATGGGTTGTGCACATGTGTGGGGTGAATATGCACATGCTTGTGTAGAGGCCAGAGGCCAACTGTCATGACTCAAGAGTCACATATCCACCATGATTTGATTTTTCAAATATTTTCTATTATTTTTAATGATGTGTGTGTGGGGCTATGTGTACATGAGTTCAGGTGCCTGGGGAGGCCAGAGGCATCAGATTCCCCTGGAGCTAGCATTACAGTTGTGTTGTGAGTCCCCTGACATGGGTGCTGGGAATTGAACTCAGGTCTTCAGGGAGAGTAGTACATACTTAATTCCTGAGCCATTTCTCCAGCACCATCTACCATGATTTTTAAGACAGGATTACTGGGACCAGCAGCTGGCCAATTCAGCTAGGCTGACTGGCCAGTGACAGTGAGCTCTAGGGATCCACCTGTCTCCACCTCCACAGAGCTGGGATTGCAGGCACAAGTATTACCATGCCTAACTTTCTACTGGGCACTGGGGCTCAATCTTGGGTGCTCATACTTGCTGGCAAGCACTTTACTGACTGAGCTGTCTCTGGGGCCTCCAGTGTTGTTTTTACATCTATTTCCTTTAGTTGTGAGCAAGACTGGGTATCTTTAGGAGCTGCTTATTCAAATCCATTGTTTGCCTATGTCCAACTTTGCTAATCAAGAAAATTTAGTTCATTGCTTGACTGTGTGTTATAATTGCATCTTCACAATTTCCATTTGTCTTATGACTTCATGTAGGATATTCCTGACATCCAGATCATAAAACTGACACTTGCCCTTTGAAGTGTGGAAAACCCTGAAGCATAAACAAATTATCTGAAAAACCAGTCATAATCCTCCTGCTGAATTCAACTGTTAACATTCCCTTACTTTTTCAATGTTTATGGGGGTGAGGGGGAGGGGGCACATTCATGCCACAGCTCATGTGTGGAGATCAGAGAATAACTTGTAGGAGTTGGTGCTTTCTACTGTGTGGGTTCTGGGAATTGAACTCAGGTTATCAGGCTTGGCACAGATGCCTTTACCCAATAAGTCATCCTACCAAGACCAACATTTCCCTGCTTTTGATTTTTTTTTGAAACAAGATCTCCCTGTAGCCCCAGTTTGCCTGGAACTCACTATGTAGACCAGGCTGACCTCGATCTCACAGAGATCTCTCTGCCTCTGCCTCTGCCTCCCTTGTGCTGGGATTAAAGGCCTGCACCACCGTGCCTAGCTCTCTACTTTTGAGTACACAAATTTGTGTCCAGTGTGATCTTCCATGCTTTTTAACCCAATAGCACAGCACACAAATTCCTTGTAATCACTGTTTCGAAAGGCTGTGCATAATATATCATTTATAAACTATGTTTTTGGACATTTAGATGTTTTATAATTTTTTTGCTAGTATAAACAACATTGTAATTAAAATCACCCTGGGGGCTAGAGAAATGGCTCAGCAGTTAAGAGCACTTGTTGCTCTTGTAGAGGACCTACACTCACAAGGGATCTGTCTGATGTCCCTTTCTGGCTTCCGAGAGTACTAGGTATGTACACAATGCACAGACACACATTCGAACAAAATATTCATACACATAAAATAAAATACATACATTTTAAAATCATTGTGTACAGAGATTCAGTTGAAAAAAATATTCTGAGCTCAGAGTGAGTTCCCTGAGGTGGGACCAACCTCTCTGGCAGATGTGGGGCCCTGACATGTGCTGCACCAGCTGTGTTGTTTTGTTACCAAGTTTTACACATCTGTTCATACTGTTGACATTTGGAAAAGTTATTTCACCCTTTGGTACCTTGTATAAAATGGGGACAGTTTGCCTCTTAGGGTTTTGTGGGGTTCAATGTGCATACAAGGCTTTTGGGACTGGCCTAGCACATAACAGGCACTCAGTAAGAACTGATGGTATCTGTGGATTATTTCACTTCCCTTTGAGGTGGACAGTCAGCCTCACCTCATCTCTAGCTGCAGCAGAGAACAAGATAGCTGATCCAACTTACCACTGTGCTGCAGATGGCCCAGTTTGGGTTCACTGGCTGGAGCTTCATGATAACGTTGGGGTGAGGGGACACTCCAGCAGTTAGATTGTGAGAATCTAACATCACACCTCCCCCCTGCCAAAGCCCACAGGAATCCTGAGTTATAACTTGACTCTCTTATCTAGTGCCTTCCTGCCTCTGAAACTCCTAGAATACGTGATGTAGGTCACGTGGTATGCAAACAGTTGCACCCCCCACCTTTAAGAGCAAGAAATTCCCTTTGTCTCCCAAAGCTGAATGTTCTCTTTCCCCTGGGGACCCCACTGTGCTGCCTATGGCTGATGCAGTGACTCTGGACAGATCTCACACTCTGAAGGACAATTCATCTCAGCACCTTTCATGGAAATCTATGACATATTTTCTGAACTCTTAACAGTAGCCACATCAAAATCAGTCTTCAAAACTGTAGGCCTGCAAGATGGCTCAGCTGGCAAATACACTTTCAGAGCAAATTCAAGGACCTGAGTTCAATCTCCAGAACCAAGGTGATGGCAGGAGATCTGATTCCACAGGGTTGTTCCTGACCTACACACACACACACACACACACACACACACAAACACACACACACACACACACCTGCTCACACAGTGACACAACTGCTTCCCCCATATAAAAAACAAAGTGTGCCCATGTCCTTGGAATCACCAAGATCGGAGCTGCCAGCTCTGGCAGCCCCTCTGGTCAGCTGCTGCTTTTTGGCTTGTGGAGACAGCTGGGCAGACAGAGGCCCATTCTCTCTTTCTCTGGGCTCTGTTGTTGGGGCCTCCTCCCAGGTTCCAGCCACACAGACACTCCCAGTTGTTAGTTTGGCTTGTCTCAGATTCCTGGGTGGCAAGTGGGAGGGAACGGAGATGAAAGAATTCAGATTTACTGTACCTTGAAGACTAGATCACCAGCTCTGTCTACAGATAGGGAAACTGAGGCTCAGGGAGACTATAACAAGCACCAGGGAGTGCTTACAACAATGGTGAAGCTGCCACGGATGGGACAGGATGAAGGACTGCACCCCAGTAGGGAAGGTGGCGTGGGCATGGTCCCCACGTGGTTAGAAATAACAAGCCCGGGGCAAGCTTGCCACCCCCTCTTTGTCTCCATGGAAACAGAGCCCCAGGTCACGCAGGCTGGGCATGAGGGGCGGGGCTGCTCATGGCCACGCCTCTGGGGCGGGGGGGGCTGGGTGAAATCCCTGCGATCCCTGCAGGGGGCGTGGCCCCATAGCCAGGCGGGACCCTATTGGGTGCTGGGCTGCGGCAGGCGGGGCTTCGAGGCTGCTGGGAGCGCGAGCTTAGGGTGAGCTCATGAGCCATTCCGTCGCCTGTGACGCAGAGCGAGCCGGAGCTCTGCTCGCAGCCCTGCACCGCGAAGGAGGCGTGACCTGTGCTGGCCCCGCCCACCGCGACTCGGTGCCCCCAGCCCACCGCACACTGGCGCCCCTCCCCGCGGCGGAGCGGCGGCCAGCTCAGGCAGGGCCGGCCGCGGGATGTGAGTCCGCGGGGTCGTTCGCGGAGGGGCTTGGGCCTAGACGGGGTCGGTGGGCCGAGCGGGACGAATGCGGCGGGCGGGGCGAACCCGGAGGGCGCAGATCGTTGCCCTTTGCGAGCCCAGGGCCAGCGCGATGCGGGGCTGGGTCTCTATCCTAGGCACTGCGCTGGCCTGCAGGGCTGCGTCGAGGGGCGGCCTCCACGGGCTGCACTGCCCTCTGCAGCTGGACCTGAGCCCCCACCTACGTAGATGCCTAAGCTCAGTTCCTGCGACAGCTGGTGCAGGCCTGGAGCCTAAGGCTCTGCTGCCTGGAGTGTAATTGTTCTAGTGTGGCGTGAGGTGCTGGGATCTTGCTGCCAGCGCCCCCGAGTACCGGACGTTTCCCTACACCTGCCGGGTGACCTTGGGCACACCTGGTCCCAGGGTGCGGTTGTGGTTCCTGTCCTCAGGGCTGATGTTAGAACTATTGGAACAGGGTTCTAGCAAAGCAAGGCAGGACTCAGGAAGGAGCTGTTTTCGTTCTTGTTGATGTTAAGAGACCTCCGGGTTGTGGGTCAGGAGGGGGAGGCTGCTTTCCACACTGAGGCCACCCCTATCTCTGTGTCTATCTCCATGTACACTGAAGGCCGCACACAACCCAGCTGTACCAGCATGTGCCAGGGAAACGCTGGCCCATCGTCTACTCCCCACGCTACAACATCACCTTCATGGGTCTAGAAAAGCTGCATCCCTTTGATGCCGGGAAATGGGGCAAGGTGATCAATTTCCTAAAAGGTAAGAAGGTGCTCTTCAGACTGTACATCTGCCTCCTCCATCTCCCCAACCTCATCTCCCCTCAGATCCTCCATCTGCGTCCTCCATCTCCTCATTCTCCCCGTCCTCATCCCCCTTCAAACCCTATATCTTCCTCCTCCATCTCTCTGTCCTCCCCATCCTCATCCCTGGTGTCCATTCTACTGTTTCTTTTTTCAGCCCCCAGATTGCCTTCTGCCTTAATCATCAATGGGTCTTTCCAGACAGACTGCTAAGCATGGTGGGCCTAGTCTCATCCATCTTTAACATTTAAACCCATCTCCTCTCCCTTCCTAACAAATCTAGAGCAAGCCTCTGGCTCTGTGTCTTACTGAAAGTAGGATCAAATTAGAGATTCCTAACACAATTTGTTTTTGTTGGGTTTGTTTTTCCACTTCTGGTGAACTTCTATTTATGGCAAAGGCTCTGCCTTTCCCTCTGCTGTAGGGACCAGCCTGAAACCATTCAAAGTAAAACATGGCGTAGAAAGCACACAGGTGATGTGTATTACTGTGTGAGCCCAGGGACGTGAGAACCTGCCTCTCGCCTCACACATCTGCTGCCTTCCAAAATGGTCTTCCTGCCACTGCCCCTCTGCCTCCAGAAGGGCTCCTCATCTCCCTTACCTGGGAGCAGGCAGAGGGTCCCTTTTACTCCTGTGTGCTCTGAGGATGAGGGAGGGAAGGAGGCAGGCCCACATGGAAGACACCTTGGATACCCTGCCAGGAAGGGAGCTGGCTGTGCCCAAAGGCTGGAGGTTATGGCATGTTGTGGGGACAAGGGGCACCTACCTAGATCTGTATGTGGAAGTGGATGGAACTGGTTGGTTTCTGAGTGTGATTTATTGAAACAGGATACCTAAATCCAGATTTCTCTAGAACCCAGAGCACTGTGGCCTGACCTCACAGTGCTCTAGGGCAGCGCCTGCTCTTAGCCTCATTTTTTTTTGTTTTGCAAACCGAGGAGAAGCTTTGGTAACTATCTGGGTGTAAAAAGAGTATAGTGTCTATCAGACACTAGACAGCTGCAAGCCACTCTGTGGGGCCCAGCTCTCTCTCTATCTTCTACCCTGTTGTTGGTCATTCATTGCATATTTTTAAATGGTTGAACTTCTGGGTTAAATTTAAAGGAAACATTATGTCATCTAAATTGGAAAAGACAGTTTCATTTGCCATAAATAGAAGGTCACAGTAAGAAGTATGCACTGAAAACAGCAGTGTTCCTGCTCCAGCTGGCTGCCACTACCCATGGGCCACTGCTGCCTGAGGTAGCTGCTCTCCTTTGGTTAGCAAGGGAGATGAGCAAGGCTCTGGCATGGGAGAAACCACACCATCCTGAGTGGCCTGTGGAGGGAGAGTTGTAAGAGCGCTCTTAGAAAGTACTCGTCTGCCTCAGTTGTACCTGAGTCACCTGTTAGCTGTCAGCAGCTTGGGAAACATGGGTTCTGCTGTGTGTCCCAAGCTCAACACCTTGGTACAGAGGGTCTAGACACTGTCCACACTGGACTAAGGAGGCAGCCATTCTCTGAATGCCGACAAGTCCACAGTGCCCAGGGGCTGCAGAGACCAGACCTGCAGTCTAGGGCTGGGTAGAAGGGGCTGAGGTAGGGCCTGGTCTGGGAGTCAGCGGAAGGAAGCAGGAGCTTGCTCTGTGGTTCCAGAGGAGAAGCTGCTGTCGGATGGCATGCTGGTGGAGGCTCGGGAGGCCTCAGAAGAGGACCTGTTGGTGGTGCACACCAGACGCTATCTCAATGAGCTAAAGGTATGGACAGGGACCTGTGGGCTGTGTCTGGGGGTAGAGGCCAGAGGAAGGAAGCTCGACATCATCTGCATGTACTCCTGTTCCTAGCACAGGGAGACAAGGGAGTCTCTAGTCCTAGGATTAAGCAGTAGCCATAAGAAGGCAGCTGAGTGGGTAATAAGCTCTGGGCTCGGAACCCCTTAGGGGCTTTGGGCTTTGTCAGTGACTTTAACCTGAGCTCTGGTGCCTCGAGCTCCTGCTGGGATGAACACAGTGTGTGTGTGGGGTGGGGGGCACCAGTCCTGTCCACTAAGGTCATTCCACTTTGGCCTGTTTTTATAGTGGGCTGAGATTTAAGATTCTATTCTAAGGACTTCTTATAAATGAAAATTTTTGGTTTAAAAATGGGTTTGAAACTCCCCCAGAGTCCAGCACATAAAGACCTGGGTGGGGAGGTGGAAGTGTCAGGGGTAAACTACAGAAGCCCTGCCCTCCTATATGGGCCATGTGGTTGGCTGCCATGCAGTCCTATTGTGGGCCTAGTACTGTGTCCACTTCTCCAAGAGAAGCCAGAAATGCAGATTATTAAATGTTATTCTTACTTGGATTTCTTTGTGTGTGTGTGTGTGTGTGTGTGTGTGTGTGTGTGTGGTGGTTGGGACTGAACCCAGGGCCTTATGCATGCTAGGCAAGTACTCTATTACTAAGCCATATCCCCAGCCCTATCCTGATTCAGAATGTGCTAACTGTAAGATTTTTTAAATCCCACCTGCAGGCCACACTGGACTACTGCTGCCTGCTTGTGACCTCTTTGTGAAGAGGCCATGAGCTCCTGCTGGTAGCCAGGGTCCTGAGTACATCCTTTATGTGACAGACTGGCATGTGTGTGGGGGGGGGGCGGTGAGGCTATATCTGAATCTGTGACTACCAGCCTACCCTGGTTGGGACCACATCAGGGGTGCCCTGGGTTCTCTGCCCCCAGAGCATGGGAACCCTGGCTCCCAAGCTTCCTGTCAGGGTCCCCTTAGACTCAGAGCCCCCATAGATACAGAGGTCAGCAGGTCCCTTTGCTGTGGGTGGAAAGACTTTGACTCAGAACTAGGCTGTGCCTGCTCAAGGTTACTGACTGAGGGGGGGTTGTTCCAGTCTGTGGGGAGGACCCTGGCAGGCATCCATCCAGTCTTCCAAGACCTGGGTCACAACTGCTGGCCTTCTTCCTGCCTAACCACAGTCTGAGCTGTGAGAATTCTAGATAAGCCATGATAGTGTGAGCTCATGAAAGATTGCCAGGAGGAGGCTGCAACCTGGCTCTCAGGAGAGAGTGTGAACTGTTGGCAAGAAGCCCAGCGCCTGGTTGCCCTGGATTCCTGGGGCCCAGGCATGCGTGGTTAGTCCACAGTTCAGAGGCCTGGTCAGGAGTACAGAGGAGGCTGATGGACAGGGCCAGGAGCTCTGAGTTGGGGCAGGAAGAGACAAAACAGTGGAGCCAGGATCAGGCCAGGAGAGGTGGGGAATTGCTAGGGCCCCATCCATTTATAAGACCTTCAGGAAAACTTAACAGGGCAGGTTACCTGCCTGGTCCTGGTTCCCAAAAGTCTGAAAGCATTGTAGTCTGTGATAAGTAGTAACAATAAGAAGTTGTTAATAGTGTCCCAAATAGGAAATAAGCAGACCAGGAGAACTCAGATATAGCAACACAAAGCATAAAGGGTTAACCAAGATGATGATGGGGTGACGTTTGGCTTGGAGCTCACTGAAGTCAGAGCAAAAGGACAAATATGATTTTTATAACACATCAGGCCTTGTGTGGCCTGGCCAGCAGTACCAGGCTACACTGGGTCACAGGCTGAGGAGGGAGCATGGATTCTGTCTTGAATACTGTGGGCAAATCACAAAAAAAAAAAAAAGGTTTGTTAGGGGGGGGGATATG